CGGTAAAGAACATTGTGTCTCCTATTCCTTGGCCTGCTACTGAACTCAGTACCTGGCATAAGCAGAAAAAACATCCTGTTCATTTGAAATGATTTAACATTTACTGTTTTCCCTGTGTTTCTGTGAAAGAGTTTCTTATGGTGATCCCTAGTGGATAGTTACAATCTGCTTAAAATGCAGACTCTGTAAAAACCAGGAAAAGAAAACACCCTTTATGATCAAAAAATATTTTGTACAATAAAAAACCCGCACCTTGTTGTTTTTGCATTGAATGTATCAAATTAGTGGTTCAAAATTAAGTTTCTGCCCTGTCCTATAGAAAGAGGTAGGGGGGAAATGGTCTAGCTCAATGAAACTATGATTACTTGGGTCTGTTTTCATAATGGGGCATAATACAATAGTTAAAAGGGACTCTAGAAACTATTAAGTGCTTGATGGATGTTTGTTCTCATTTGCTTCGTATTTTATACCTGTGAATTAAAAAAATGGAAGAGAAGGAGAAGCTATGTAAAAGTGAGCAAATACTGTTTCTAGAAATAAACTTTTCAAACAGCGGGGGGAAAAAAAAAATCCTATCACCTCTTTAGCTTAGTAGATGTCAGGCACTTCAAATGCCCTCCACAGCCCAGCTATCGGAACTGGATGTCTTGCAAATGATCCATTTTTATGGAGCTGTGCACACTGCAATATTTTTACGAATTGCTTTAGCGAGGGTAAACGAAACACAAGTAAATTCTGGTGGTTTGTGGAGCCCTGTTGGTAATTTCCCCCGTATAGATGAAAAAGAAAATTCCTGCTTTTTAGTTTCTCAGGTCTCTGCATCTGAGTCCAAGTTCTGTTCTGTTCACATTGAAGTAATGGGAAAGGCAGACGTTTTCTCAGGAATCCAAAATAAACATTTATCTTGGTGCCTTATGAAAAACATGGAGGAAAGGAAGCGTGTTGGGCCTACAGAAGTGATATAGTCTTTTATATGGGGACAATTTATTGATTCTTGGCCTTTTGTGAAAGGAGAGTTCATTGAGGTATATGGCCTAATTTAATAGACTGGAACAATTCTGATTCTGGCATTTTTCTTAAAACTGAATATATGCTGTTACATGTTTGTGCAAAACGAGCAAAGGTGGCATTCAGGACTCTTACCACCCACATTGCCTGCTGTAATAAACCATCTGCTATAATTCTTAGTGATTTAAAAGAGTGTCCCGTGTAGGTTTTAACCCATAACTGTAACTATGAAACTGGGAACAGACACTATGGCTTTTCCCTTCCCCTTAATTACTTATATCCAGCAATAGCTGGCAAAGCTTGAGTGCTTCATGGTGATAATTCTTTGTCCTGAGTTTTCTGTAGCCTGCAGGAAGTGTAACATGGCAGCTTGGTAGTACAAGTGTTGGTCAAGTGAAAGAAAGAATCAATGGTTGTTTTTTAACTTGTGTGAGCAGGGACAACAACGTGCCAGTTGAGCTACTGCACTTTCAGATGGTGGGAGATTTTTCTTGGGAGCTTGGAACTGAAGTGCTTCTCCTTTAGAGAGATACACTAAAAAACTCTTGTGTGTTCTTACAGCACTTCAACATCATATAGTATGTGTTTCAAAGACACAGGGTTCCTTTAACAAGCCTGTTGATGTACCTGTTTAAGCCCGAATAGTATTTAATAGATTTTTAGTGGTAGAATGTTTTAGTACTTGAAATGACTTTGGATGGGATAATATTTTGTCCTTTTTATGTCAGTTTTGAAGAATTGAACTACACAGAGGGTATGCTGGAGTTACGGGGACACTAAAAGTATTTCTGAATATTTAAAGATGCCTTTAAAGGCATCTTCCTGATTCATAGAAAATATTCCACGGTGGTTTATTTCCACTTGAGCTTTTCAAGCAACTGTGTATTTTAGCATATAATATTTCAAATTGTTAGCTGGATCTATATTTTAAAGTATACAATTCTGGTTTGCTTGCTTACTGAATTGTGGATTTTCCAGTTCTTTTTTATTTTCATACTGTATTGCTGGCACTGGGAAGTGTGGCTGCTTGAACTGTCTAGGTATTACCAGCATTACGAGAACATAAAACAATTGAAATCAGCATTTGGAAGTTAAGTGTGAAGCGTTCTTCAGGTTTTCACACCCCCAACTGTATCCTCAGATAATGGACTGGCTGAGCCTTCTCACGTCTGAGATAGCTGTATTTGAAACAAATTTCTTGTCTTATGGCTGTGGCTTCTGATAATAGATGGCGGAGAGGAAAGTGGTAAGGGTTTGGTGCACTTAGGAGGAGAGGAAAAACAAGGCAACGGGACTTCTGGGAAGCTGATACAACTCTGCTCTGCTGCTGAACTGAAGATAATTGTCTTAGTAGGTAATTTCCCAATTAGATGTGCAAAGTATGGTGCCACTGTGGTTTAAGCCTTCCATGTGGCTTTGGTGGAGTGCAACATGTAGCAAGGACTGGGAAAACAGAGTTGGAACAGAGAGCAAAGCGTTTTGAAACACTGTGAGAGTGCAGATCTGTTCATACATCTTTACTAGCTGCAGCAAGGCAGTGGGGCAAAAAAATATTTCCAGGAGAGAAACTCTTGTCAATCCGAAATGTGTGCTGAGCTTGAGTAAATGGCTGGTATGCAGGACCCTGTCCTGTGATCTGTGCCTTCAGGGGCATCCGGGCAAAAGCTGTCTTCTCTGGAGAGCTGCAAGATCACTAGGATGACACTGATGGGAACACCATTGGCCATTGTGCTCAGAGGCTGGCCAAGGAGGAGACCCAGGGGAGAAGATCTGCTCAACCCTAAGCAGCTGTGCTCAGAATGGGGGTGCTCACCAGCTCTTGGGGGATGAAATGGGTCAGGCTTTCATCTTTGCATCGTAAAGGATATCAAATAGATGATGGCTCCAGCAAGTATCTAAATAACATATTTTATGTTACGTAGTGTAATGAAACATCTGTGAGAGAGGAATGGATCAAGTGAGAAGGAATTAAGATGAGTGTTGTTTTTAACAGTTTAGCCAGCACTCGTGAATTGACTTAGGAAGCAAAGGTCACAAGTTCAGCAGCATTTGTCACTTCAGCCCAGTTCCTAATTAAACAACTTTAAACATTATAAAATTGCAGTAAACTCGGAAGTCCCACAGTTTTCCTGCACCACGTGTGTGGTAAAACACAAGCATCAGATGTAAGTAAATTTCAGCCTTCAAATCTTTAGAACTATTTTTCTTATGTGTGTGTGTATATGTGTATATATGTGTGTGTGTGTGTATATATATATGTATATATATACACGAGTTCATCAGTAAGCCAAGGGCTGCTGAAATGTGTCTGGCAGTAGTCCCTGCTGCCTCCAAATGCAGCTGAACAAACAGCCTGCAGCTCGCACAAGAAGACAGGCCAATTGGGTAGGAGGACAGGAGGGGACAGCGTGGTAGATTCGGTATCCCAGCACAAGAGAGAAGCACGCTGCCACCTCTGTGTTTATATAGCCGGTAGGAACTGTGCTTAGGAATTGGTGGTGGTATAGAAAGACCTTTCTAGTTTTCTGGCATACATTAAATGACCAAAATGACTGTAAATAAACTTAAACCTTTGTGTGTCTTAAAGAAAAACTCGGTTTGGGAATTCGACCTGTAGGGCTTTTGGGAAGAAAGAAAAAATTAGGTTGTTTTTCTTGATGGGGGAGATAAAACCCAGTGGACTTTCCTTTAATGGTGATTGTTGTTTTCGGGGTAGGCTTTCCTGGAATAAGATTATTATCAGCGTGTTAGTAATGTGGCATCACTTTGCTCTTTTTATGGCATCCTTTTGCTCTTCGTGACTTTGCTGCTTTAGCAAACACTTTCTCTGTGTTAAACTTGCACTAAGCTAGGAGGCTTCAGGAGATTGACCACAGAGATTCTGCTGGCTGCACATGAGGGAATTGTGCCCAAGACCAAATTATTTTTGAGTAGTGGAGTTTATTGAGGCCACATCTGCAGCCTGCATGATTTTACAACCACCGTTAACAGAAGTACAAGGCACAGAATAACAGCCATCTATTTTAGCTGTGCAGTGAGAAGTGCTATTATTGGTACCGGTATTAGGAGCTGGAAATCCAGATACAGACAGTGGAGGGAGAGAAGCATCTTGAAGGGACTGACTTAGAGAGCTAGAAGGAGGCTGTGCCCTTCAGCATCTGCTGTAGCTTCCAAGTAGTGGCAAAACCCTGTGGCAAGCAGGTCCAATGAATGTTTATGGTGCCTGTAACACAATGAGTGGGGTGCTTCTCGAAATTACCGCCTTTCAGATTTCATAGTCATCTTCCTCCAGAGTTTAACATGACCTTGTTCTCAGTGTTGTAACGCACCGGGACTTGCAGTAGTATTGAGTAAATGTCAATCCACCATGTCCTGGTGCAGGGCTCTGGAGTGACACGGTGACAGTCCAGCCTTGCCCCATAGAGTGCACAGAGGAGGACAGATGGACGTGTGCTTTACACAGCCAACACGTTGACAGCCAGTGGCAGCAGCAGATTGGTAACAAGTGTTGCTGAGTATTATGCGTCTGTTGAGAGCTTCTGTTTAATGGTGCCACATTAAGCCATGGAAATTTCCCTTTCCATATACAGAAGTAAGGGTTGAAGTAAACGGTGACTGAATGCGAAGGAAGTTCCCCGACATCCACTGCTTTGGGAATGATCATGTCAAGAATGAGAACATCAGTGAGATCACTTATGGGATCAAATGCTAATTTTACTTTTGCACACTCAGGATCTGAAAAGCAATTTAATACTGCTGATGCTGTTGCAGCAGTCCTCTGTAGCAGCGGTGACTTGGGTATGGCATGCTTTCTGCTCATGTGTTTCTAGCCTATTGCTTCATTTCTTCTCTTTTGTTGCAGACTGTCATAAACATTTCTGCAGATACTTCACAGTTAGCAGACTCCAAAACATCCTTCATTCAACACCTCATGTGCAACAACCGTCTTCCTTAGTTTTGATGCTTTCCTTCTTACTCATCCTTTCTATTAGGAGAAGCCCTTTGTGTCAGAAGCAGCTAGGAAGAAAGAGAGAGACTTGGTAGCCAAAGAAATTGAGAAGTTTCAGGTCTCTATTCAGACTCTGTGCCGGAGTGCCCTTACGCTTGGCAGGATCATGGATTACATTCAAGAAGACATGGATGCCATGAAGAACGAGTTGCAGATGTGGCGGCATGAGAACAGACAACATGCAGAAGCTCTACAGAAAGAGCAAAGGTGAGTGTGGTCACGGAAAGTTTGATTTATCTCTTGAGACAGACAGGAGAGGGGCAAGTTTTACTCATTTTTCAACTCAGATTTGTCATCTGTCATTTTTGTGGTTTTGAGGAATTTTTTTGCAGTCTGAATTGTTTTTTGAAGTGTTAAAGCCTTAAGGTCTTTTCAGCTGAATTTCGTGTGATGTAGATGACAGCAGAGATGCAAATGTTTGTGTGATATGAGAGGGCTTGATTTGTTGTTTTCTTCCCCTCACAAATATATCAGGAGCAATGGGGAAAGAACTTAGTAAAGTAGATTTTGAATCGGGACTAGGCGTGGATTCCTGAATTGCAACCTGCTCTCCGTGCCATTGAATCCAGTGTGTTCTGCGCTGGTGTTAATAACGGTTGTTGTCATTGGTGCAAGGTTAAAAAATAACATTGGAAAGCCAGAAGAGTGAAGGTGATGTCCATAGTACAAAAAAAGGAGGTCAAGCCTGGAAACAGTTTCTTTGACCTTACTTGTCTCACTGATGGGTCTTCATGCTCCTTGAAAACAGATCGTCCTTTCCAGCTGTATGTCCTCTGATGTCAAACATGAACTAGGTATCGATGTTGTTGGATTCACGGTCAGCCTAGATAGATTTGCTGCTCCCTGCATCCACGTGCTTCATGCAGAAGCAAGTATGGGTGATGTTCTTAGCTAAGTCCTATCTTGGTAGGCAGCAATGTGTTAAATGTTGGAAATTTACAGCCACTGGCTTAGCCCAGGGGCTGAGGTGGGAATTAGGGCTTTGGTTCACATATAAAGTGTAATGATGTTAATTCCTTGCACTTACATAGCACCTTCTATCCCAAAACCTTGACAGGCTTTAAAACTCTGGTTGGCCTCAGAATGCACCACTCCTGCACAGAGAAAGGAAACAGTGTTTGGCTTTATTTTACAGTTGGAGAAACTGAGGCATTGACTCACTTGGCCTTAGCACCACACCTAGCAACAGGGAGCAAGTCTCAAGCCTTTCTCCAGGCATGTGCTTACTCAGTGGATCCACTTTGGCCTTGCCAAACAAGTCATTTACACTTGGGCTAGTTTCCCAGCAGAGTGACTGTATGTGCTTCGCCGGCTTCGTATGACCCTGGAGTTCCCAGGCAAAGTGTGCTGAGGACAAGACTTATCTCCTTGACAGCAGTGTGGAAGGAGAGGGGGAGTGGGAAGAAGGAATTACTCAGATGAATTACTAGGAAAGAATTACAGAGTATCAGACATGAAGAAGACAATGCTTCCCATATGTACTGGAATTTGGATGTCTGTCTTTGTTTTCTTTGCTTCTGTGAAAGACAACTGAAGGATCCCGTTGGGGAAATGTTAGTGCAATTTCTAGCAAAGCTTTTTGTGATTTATGCTAATGTGGTAGAAAGGAGGGGAAAACAAAATGATTTTGAGATGCGGACTTTTGCTAATGAGTCCTCAAAGTGACTGGGTAATTCAGAATGACAGCAGGCCAGTTCAGTCTGTCATTTCCCTGGCTGTTCAGCGTTCCTGAAGATCAGCAAAGCAATACAGAACAGGGCACATTTGTTTTAAAGCCAAACAGCCCCATTCATTTCAGATGCATCAGTGTACTTGTGGTTTATTAGCACAGGATTTATTAATTTCCTATTAGCATGGGATTGCCTGCTCTTGTCAGCAGCTAGTGATGGGTCAGTTTTCATCTGCCTTGCCTCTTCTCACATGTCTACCTGCTGTAGCTTGGTGCTGCTGGCAGCAGCTTGCTGCTGGCTTGGTGGTGTGTTGTAGGAAATAGCTGGCAGCAGGCCAGCAACCTCCATGGAGAGTTGTATTTGTCGCTCTCTGCCACGTGCTTCTCATTTAAGCTCTTGTGGTGAGGCCCAGAGGGATGGCTGTTACCATGTGTATCATGGCAGGACCCAGGGGCCTCTGTAAAAAGTGGGTGTTCATTCCTGTAGAATGAATGGTTTGGGTTAGAAGGGACCTTTAAAGATCACCTAGTCCAACCCTCCTGCTGTGGGCAGGGACACCTCCTGCTAGAGCAGGTTGCTCAAAGCCCCATCCAACCCGACTTTGAACACTTCCAAAGATGGAGCATCCACCCTTTCTCTGGTCCTTGTTGGGTTCTATCCCATGGAGTGAAGTGCTGCTTCATCCCTGGGCCAGGGGGTTGCAGCTTCTGGCTGGGTAAAATGAAAGAAGTGCTTGACAATAGGCATAGTGCAGGGTGAAATAACTGCAAAGCAAAGAATTTTAGCAGAAAAGCTTGATTAGCCAAGAAGTGGCTGTTTACTGTGGAATTGTGGGTGATCTCTCTTGAACAATATTCTTCTCTGTCCATGTTGTTAGCTTTGCCTTTGTGCTTCTTATTCTAAACTTTCTTTCAGGAAGGGTAGGCACAACTTAAATACTGAGCAGGCTTTCAGGTATTGAATGTACTTTCTTGGAGGCTTAAGTAACCCGGAGCAGCATAATGTTTCCAGTAACATTACGCTCTTTGTGTCTCTTTCAGCATCACAGACAGTGCTGTAGAACCGTTAAAAGCTGATCTGGCAGAACTGGAACAGTTGATTAAAGACCAGCAAGACAAGATCTGTGCTGTAAAAGCTAATATTTTGAAGAACGAAGGAAAAATCCGGAGGATGGTTCTTAGCATAAACCTCTCTTCAAGAAGGTGAAGAGAAGGGGAAAAGAGAGAAGAAAAAAAAAAAAAGCAAGCCTTGGGACTGACTGACATTCCTACCAAATAAAAACAAAATAGCGGAGAAAACTAAGATATGCCTTTATAGATGTAAAATGTTTAGGTACCACAAGTCAAAAAAGTATATAAAATCCCATTATTGCATTGATCTTTAGATGTTGATATTACCCAGGATAAAATTACATTCATTTGAATGCTCAGGTTGCAGAGCTATTAAAATAACTTGTTTGTTTAGATGTGAACTGCTGTTACTCACTTACCAGGCCTTCACAGCCCTC